TTAGGTCAATAAATATCCCCATCGTATATTTTTTCTCATCCATAGCACTTGTAATGTCCTCCATCAGGTCAGTAATGGCCAAGGATGTTGATCTTTTCGACCTAAAACCATATTGACAATCAGATAAGATATTATGTTTATCAATAAATGTGTCTAGTCTGTTATTAAAGAGTTTTTCCAGAATTTTTGAAAATTGTGACAACAGAGAAATCGGTCTATAATTTGTGAAGTTGTGCTTATCACCAGATTTATACAGTGGAATAACCTTTGCTAGTTTCATATTATTGGGGAACTGCCCAAGTCGAAACGACATGTTAAAAATATGGGTTAATGGTTTGCATATGTCCTCAATTACCCATTTAACAGTTGTCATAGTGATACCATCACTATCACTAGATGTTTTGTTACCACATTTATTCACTATCTCTATAATTTCCTTTTCAACTATGGGCTTCAAAAACATAGAACTCATGTTCCTTTCGATTGTATTATTATTTATAGTGACGGATGTATCATCTGTACAAATGCTTCTTGCTAAACCAGGACCAACATTCACAAAGAACCTTTTTAACTTATCTGCTACATCCTCCAATCTCTTGACCGGTGTATCATTATCCATAAAATATTGAGGGTAGTTACTCTTGCTGAGTAGTTTGAGTATCAGCAGTAGCTTTACACATCAACATTAGATTGCCTCAGTAAATGAATGGTGCAAAACGAAAAACAATGGGGCCCCTGCATACAGTACCGTCTTAATGATGGAGTGACTGCTGGGAACCAGTGATGAATACAGTGGTAGTGTGCACAGGGGAATCCCGTTTCCCTGAAAATCCAGGTGTGGCAGACCGCCACAAGTAAATACCGGGGAAACACTGAACAGTTTCACTTGAACTGAAACGGGAAACATTTTTACTGGTGTATTGTTCATACAAAATTGAAAGAAGTCTTAACTTACTGATTAGATCTGATACAAGTAGGAGAATACGTCTATTGTGTCCGGCAGGTTTTGATGTTTCACTGTTCAGTTCAGAAACACAACATAATACAGTATGTACTCAAAACACACTGCCAGTGTCTAATTTTGGGGTTTGAAAAAACGTCCAACCCTGACAATGAGACTCTGAGGACTTATCAAAAATGGGCTTTGTATAAATAAATGTACCACTGGGAAAAGACTTAACAAACCGTGTGGGATTTTAATCTTTAAGTCAGTAAAATCTTTATAAATAAATCATTATTCTCGGTTATGTCATTATTAGCACATCTGCAGATTATTTTTGCATCAGACTTTCATCTTATCTTGAAATATGCCTTTGTCAAAGATGCACAGTATATTCTCATGTGTGCAAAGCACATGTCTGATGAGAAAACGGTGTGAAAAGTGTCTGCAATTTGTTTCTTTGGATCACAGGCTCAGCTGTCTGGCAGCTCATTGCCTCCTTCCTCAAACTGCCCATCTCTGGGACCCACTGCATTGTTGGAGCCACCATCGGCTTCTCCATGGTGGCCATCGGCACCAAGGGCGTACAGTGGATGCAGCTTGTCAAGATTGGTAATGAACTAGGGTTGTTTGAGATCGTTTTGAGTGTGTTCACAAAGCCTCTGTGTAAAAGGGGGAGGCAGGGTGTGGGGGTTGTGGAAGAGGTGTGTAACATTTTGATCCATTGTTTCTGTGCCACCGGGGAATTTAAATTTTAACATTGCTCACAAGAAACAAGAGTCTGAGACCTACGTCATTAACATGTTATACTCCATGCACAACAATGTTCAGTCTGAATCATGTTGGAAATGTGCAGGACGAGCAGAAGCACACCCCTGCTTTGTTCATCTGCTTTGAACATTACATCTCTAATACCGGGACACAGGGGTGGCATTATGACCTTTTTATTTAAGTTCATTGTAGACAAAACCACAATAAAGAAGGTCCTGTTTAATGCCAATATAGTGGCATATCTGTTTAAAAGAGACTGGAGTTTAACATCAAGGGTTATCAAATTTTGTTGTGGATGATGAGTCCCTTGGTCATTTTACACAATGACTAATCTACTTTAGAAAAGGCAGAGATACCAGTTTCTTCCAAGGATGTACTTTACAATAACACTGTCTCGGAGAGAGAAAGAAACTGGCTGCTGTAGTGTTGTTTCTCCTACCTACCTGTACATAACACCACTGAATATGTTCAGTTCTCTCTCTGGGAAGCCTCTGAGCAATGCTTGAAGAAACGGGGATGACAAAAAGACAAATCTGTGACTGATGATACTGTATGTGTGAGTGACTTTTGTTTGTTGTTGTACTTTTCTGATGACATTTTCTACTCCCTTTCCAGTGGCATCATGGTTCATCTCCCCCTTGCTCTCAGGACTCATGTCAGGACTGCTTTTTATGCTAATCAAACACTTGATCCTCAACAAGGTGGGCTCACTGTACAACTGCACTTCCACATCCACACAGTGAGAAATGTACAGTACCTCCTTGTGGAGTTTTTTGGTTTATTTTGACCTTTAAAAACATTAAAAGATGTTGGTCCACAAGTGTAAATGCTTGAGTTTAGACACAGAAATAAAGGATGTACCCACACAAACTTGTTCAATGAACTTCAGCACAAATAAAATCCATCTGATCGCCCACAGATCTGTTGCTATGTAACCGGAGGTCTCTGGCAGACCAAGAAGAGGAAGGTGTTGTAGATCATCCTGAGGCCACGACTGCAGGATTATGTATGAATGACCGTAGGATGATTTGTCGTTCAGACTAGAGTCACTGTATAGCTGGGTCAAATTCAGGATCTGTTTATCTCTATCTCTGCAGATTGTTTGCACCAGGATATTTGGTCTTTGTCTGTGCTGTGTTTGTCACATCCAGTTTGCAAGTTTAGTTTTCAGATGTGAGGCTTTTACCTTAATAGGTTGGTTGCACTGCATATCAGTCTTACCACACAGTGTAAGAATGACTTGTTTGATTTTGCACTCTTCAGTCTGAGGAAATATTTTACCTCAGTCCTTTTTATATACCGCTGGAGTTCTGAAATGAACGTGTTAGTTCACACTGGATCCTCACAAATGAGTTGGGGTATCTGCTATGATGCAGAAAGCAACTACAATTTTAGTTCATCTTGACCTAGTCTCCATATTGATATTTTAAGAAAGGTGCCCAGAAAGAGGCTCTACCCAGAGTGATGCATTACCAGGGAGCAGTTCATTGTCAGCGACACTTTGACAGATGCAGAGCTGCCATTGAGGGCAGGTTGTTCATCACATAGGACATTAAAGAGGAGAGTAACAAGAGCGTGAAGTATAAATCTTGCATAGCATTAGTAGGACTGGAGTTTTTCCCAGTGTCGACACGTAGGGCTGCAACTATTCAGCTGATTAATCAATAATGGAAATCATTCTTATTTTCTCAATTCATAGCTTGTCATAAAATTTTTTTTTAAATAAGCCTGTCATGGATTTCTAGAGCCCGAAGTCACATCGTCAGATCCCTCTGTGGCCGGTGTAAAATCACATATAAAATATTAACACTGTTGGACTTTTGTTGTGATGGTCATCTGTTATGCATTATATCAGACCATTCATTTGCTTGGAAATACTAATTCACAACATTTTGTAAAACAAAAATATAATCGCATCATGATAACATTCAGCTAGTTAAGGCAAGCTTTTGTCATAGCATGAGAAACTGTACTAAAAATCCATATGTGTTATCTCCTCAGGATGACTCTGTCCCTAACGGCCTGCGAGCGCTGCCCCTGTTCTATGCCACCACCATCGGGATCAACACATTCTCCATCATGTACACTGGAGCCCCATGTAAGGGCGGAGTGGAAGTCGGACATATTTGGAGTGTTTATTTGGCACCAGTGTATGATCAAATTATCATCTCAGTCTCAGTGATAGTGCCGGTGTCGCTGGCTTGCTCAAAATTCCTACTGAAGGTGTGACAAGACAATAATACTTTGAATCTGATTGCTAGATATATTTTCTTATATGTGTGCGTGTGTGTGTGTGTGTGTTTGTTTGTTTACTACTTGCAGTGCTTGGATTAGAGATGCTACCAGTGTGGGCCATATTTCTCATAACATTAGCCGGATCCCTGGTCTGTGCAGCTGTGGTCTGGCTAGTCATCTGTCCTTGGATGAGGAGGAAAATAGCAAGTAGGTATCTGAGAGAGAGTGAGTTCGTGTGTGTCCGGTCTTTCTCACGGCATCTGAAAACCCAGCACTCTGACCCTGGTCTAACAGAGCTTCAGCCTCTGCTGGCACAGTCTGTGCTCTGACACCAAACAACGGATGCCAGCGGATGTGTTTTCTTGTCGGCCTCTGCCAGAGCTGCTGAAGCCACCAAAATGCCTGTGAGCTCTGTGTAGTTGCATCGCCTAGACTCCTAGATTTTTAGCTAATTAGCCAGATGCAGGGGGTTAGGAGCATCGCCTGCAGTGCAGAAAGCTTTCAGATCAAGTTTAAGAATTGTTTCCTTAATGTGAAATCAGCCTGCAGCAAAGCAGGCGATACTGTAAAACACAAGACAACATTATATAAAACAGTGGAATATCTGAGAGAGGGGAGCTAGGAGCCAGTCTAAATTGAATTTAATGTCATGCAGGATAAATATGAACTTTTGTTGATTTGTAATAATCAAAAGTTAGAGTACAAACTCTTATGAAATGCCACTAACATTTCCAAACTGATCATCAAGTCAGCACAGAGATTAGTTTGGATCAGCTGATAGTTGATAATTTTATCTTTTTCTGACTTCAGGCCTTTTCTATTTGATTATTATTGATATTAGTGTAGAACAACTGTTTGAACAAAACAATGCATGGTCACTGAGAAATATTAGAATATAAAACTGATGTGAAAATACAGTTGTGATGTTTTCCTCATAACAAGCATTTACAGCTTATACTGTGTTAGCATCGTACATGATGTGTTATCTTTCCGGGACTCGTAACTAATCACTTGACTTCCTCCAGGTCGTTTAAAGAAGGAGCAGGCTCTGTCCAGGATTTCTTCTGAGAGCCTGGACAAGATACCTGAAGAGGAGGAAGAGAGCCCCGTCTTTAAGGAGCTACCCGGGGCCAAGGGCACAGATGAGGCAGTGGTGCCGCTGACTGGGGGCAGCAGTGAACGGGGCACTCGTGACTCCGGTGGAGAGCTCACGAGCCTGGCTAATGGAGGCACTGTCCTGCCAAATGGCCGGGTGTATGGTAAAATCGGAATGTTTTATAGATCACCATATCTGCAAAGAGTGGCTAAAATCTGTGGTGAGA